TAATCTTTCAAATTTAATTAATCTAACTTTGCATTGTGATTAATTACTGATTAGTGTTGTTCTTGAATTTGCAGATTGAATAAACCCTATCAAACAATGTCATAGCTGTTTTCTTTCAATTGATGAGTTCTTAGTGTTGTGTGGGTCACCAAAATAAGTGAGGCCACTTAATCTTAATATTATTATTATTATTAAAAGAGAAAAAAAGGGAATTAGCTTTGTGGGCCAAAGCCCATGAAATGGTTAAAGGGTTTTAACCCTTGTGTTGCAACGGGAGCGACTCTACAGACAGACTCTACCCCTTGTGTTGCAACGTGAGCGACTCTACAGACAGAGAGAAGAAGATCAAAGAGTGTCTCTTCATTGTTGTGTCGTAGAATTCATTGAGGGGTTAGTTGATTTGATATCCACCTTGTACGGTGAAGATTATATATTTGCTCTATTAATCCCTGGTGGTTCCAGGAGGACTTTTGGTGTACCCATTAATTTATTAGTGGAAGATTTACTGGCTTGGTCCCGTGGGTTGTTTTCCTTTTAAGGATTTTTTCCCACGTTAATAATTCTGGTGTCTCCTTATTTTATTTGCTCTAATTTGTGCTTATTATTGTTGTCTGAGCAATTTTGTTTGGAGCTTATTTTTAATTGCACGCAGGGGAAAAGTTGATCCAGGAGCTTCCGCATTTTATTATTATCTTCTGTATTTGTTTTCTTTCCCAACAGTGGTATCAGAGCTCCTTGGTTGGAGTTCTGTTTGGTGCTATTAAAATGGGTGAAGGTGATATGGTTGGTACTATGCTGAAATTGGATTCTTCCAATTACTCTATTTGGAAATCCCGGATGGAAGACTTATTGTTCTGTAAGGACTTGTATGATCCCATTGACGGAGACGGTACTAAGCCAGAGGATAAATCTGTTGCAGAATGGACAAAGGCAAACAGAAAAACAATTGGCATGATCAGGCAATGGATAGATCAAAGCATTTATCATCATGTGTCTAGTGAGACTAGTGCCCACAGTCTGTGGAAGAAATTGAAGGACATGTTTGAGTCCAAGAATGCACAGAACAAGGTATTTTTGTTTCGGAGACTGGTTAATCTGAAGTACAGAGATGGTTCTTCAGTGGCAGAGCATATGAGCAGTTTTCAGAATCTTGTGAATCAACTGACTACTATTGAGATTAAACTTCCTGATGAACTACTTGCTTTGTTGTTGCTTAGCTCATTGCCAGACAGTTAGGAAACATTGGTGGTATCTCTGAGCAATTCCACTAATGGCAATATGACTTTTGATACTGTGAAAGAAGCCCTATTGAATGAAGAAATCAGGAGGAAGGGAAACAATACGGCTAGTTCATCGACTCACACAGAAGCCTTGGTTGTTGAGTCACGGGGGAGAAGCCAACATATAACCTATCATAAATCTAATGACAGAAGCAAGTCAAGAGGACAGTCCAGAGGTCAGCCCAGGAAAGACATCAGGTGCTATCATTGCAACAAAGCAGGTCATATGATAAGAGAATGCAGGTTGCTTAAGAGGGAGAAATCAAGGGAAAGAGGCAATGATAATAAAGAAGATAAAGACACAGCTGCAGTTGTATCTGATGGTGAAGTTGTTGTTGTTTATGAAGATGATTCAGTTAATCTCGCATGCCAAGATTATGAATGGGTTGTTGATTCTTCTGCCTCATATCATGTTACTCCTCATCGTGAGTATTTTTCATCCTATACTGCTGGAGATTTTGGGCAGGTAAAGATGGGTAATCAAGGGGTAAGCAAGGTTGCTGGCATTGGAGATATCTGGGTAGAAACTAATGTTGGATGCAAGCTGCACTTGAAGAACGTCAGGCATATTCCTGATATGCGTCTCAACTTGATTTCAGTACAGGTACTTGATGATGATGGTTATCATAATTCCTTTGGCGATGGTAAATGGAAGTGCACCAAGGGTACTTTGGTGGTAGCAAAGGGAGTGAAGAAAAACACCCTTTACTGGACTTCTACAAAATTGTGTGCCCCTCAAGTGAATGCAATTGAGGATTGTTCTATAGAGCTATGGCATAAGCGGCTCGGTCACTTGAGTGAGAAGGGACTTGACACTCTTGCAAGGAAAAATCTGCTTCCGGTGAAAGGTACATCTCTCAAAACTTGCTCTGATTGTATTGTTGGTAAACAACATAGAGTTTCTTTCCGCACTCACCCTCCTCACAGAAGGTCACATATCTTGGATTTAGTTCACACTGATGTTTGCTCTATGGATGTTAAATCCCTTAGTGGCTATTATTATTTTGTGACATTTATTGACGATCACTCGAGAAAAGTGTGGGCTTTTGTTTTGAAATCCAAAGATCAGGTACTTGATATGTTCAAACACTTCCATGCAAGTGTGGAAAGAGAAACAGGAAAAATATTGAAGTGTGTCAGAGCAGATAATGGTGGTGAATACAGGGGGCCATTTGAGCATTATTGCAGGGAACATGGAATCAGGCTTGAGAAGACCGTTCCAAAGACTCCACAGCACAACGGAGTTGCAGAAAGAATGAAACGCACAATTAATGACAGAATCAGATGCATGCTCTCTCATGCAAAATTGTCTAAATCATTCTGGGGTGAAGCGTTGAGAACTGCAGTAGATTTGATCAACCTTTCTCCTTCAATTCCTCTTGATGGTGATGTTCCATAGAGGGTGTGGCGAGGGAAAGATGTCTCATATAATCACTTGAGAGTGTTTGGCTGCAAGGCATTTGTTCATATTCCCAGAGATGAGAGGTCCAAGCTTGATGAAAAATCAAAACAGTGTATCTTCTTGGGTTATGGTCGTGAAGACTTTGGTTACAGGTTTTGGGATCCGGTTAACAGGAAAGTCCTTAGAAGTCGAGATGCTATTTTTGTTGAAGACCAAACCATCGAAGATATTGACAAGAATGAAAAGCAGAAACAGGTTGTCCACAGGTACATTGATGTTGATCCAGAGCCTCCTACCATAGTCAATAATATTGGGGGAGATGTGAATGCAGATGTGGACAATGCAGGTGATGTTCCTGAGCCCCAAGTTGATGAAGAAATTGAACAAATTCCACCAGAGCAACCTCCTGAGCCAGTGAGAAGATCCACCAGAGAGCACCATCCTTCACAGAGATATCCTCCTCATGAATATGTGATGCTTACTGATGGGGGAGAGCCACAAAGCTTTGAAGAAGCTATGTCACATGAAGAGAAAGACAAGTGGTACAAAGCCATGCAAGAAGAGATGAAATCCTTACATGAGAACCACACATTTGAGCTAGTGAAGCTACCTAATGGTAAGAGAGCACTCAAGAACAAGTGGGTGTTTAAATTGAAGTCAGAAGAAAATAGCTCACAGCCAAGGTACAAGGCAAGGTTGGTTGTGAAAGGATTCAGTCAAAAGAAAGGTATAGATTTTGAAGAAATTTTTTCACCTGTGGTCAAGATGTCTTCAATCCGAGTTGTACTTGGTTTGGCAGCCAGTTTGAATTTAGAGGTTGAGCAACTTGATGTGAAGACCGCATTTCTCCATGGTGATTTGGAGGAAGAAATTTACATGGAGCAGCCTGATGGTTTTGCAGTCAAAGGTAAAGAGAAGCTTGTCTGCAGATTGAAGAAGAGCTTGTATGGTCTTAAACAAGCTCCAAGGAAATGGTACAAGAAATTTGATTCTTTCATGGTGGATCATGGGTATGCAAAAACTTCTTCTGATCATTGTGTGTTTGTGAAGAAATTTCCTAGTGAGAAATTTATTATCCTTTTGCTCTATGTCGATGACATGTTGATTGTTGGTCATGACATGAAAGAGATTGAGCATTTGAAAAGAGAGTTGAGCAAGTCCTTTGCAATGAAGAATTTAGGCCCTGCAAAGCAAATCCTTGGCATGAGAATTACGCGTGATAGGAAGAATTGTAAATTGTGGTTATCACAGCAAAAGTACATTGAGAAGGTATTGAAGAGGTTTAATATGTCAAATTCAAAATCAGTTGGCACTCCACTTGCAGGTCACTTCAAATTGAGCTCTATGCAATGTCCTACAAGTGAGAAAGACAAAGAAGAAATGGAGAATATTCTGTATGCATCTGCAGTTGGTAGCTTGATGTATGCGATGGTGTGTACACGTCCAGATATTGCTCATGCAGTTGGCGTGGTCAGTCGTTTCCTCTCTAATCCTGGCAAAAAATATTGACAAGCTGTGAAATGGATACTCAGGTATCTCAAAGGTACTTCTGGAGTCTGTTTGTGCTTTGGAGGTGGTAAGCCTATGTTAGATGGTTTTGCAGATGCAGACATGGCTGGTGATGTGAATTCTAGGAAGTCTACTTCTGGTTATATGATGACTTTTGCAGGGGGAGCAGTGTCATGGCAGTCTAGATTGCAGAAATGTGTTGCTTTGTCTACTACAAAGGCAGAGTATATTGCCGCCACAGAAGCTGCAAAGGAACTCTTTTGGATGCAAAAATTCCTACAAGATTTGAGTCTCTTACAGGAGAAATATATTTTATATTGTGACAGTCAGAGTGCAATCCATTTCAGCAAGAACTCGACTTATCACTCAAAGTCGAAGCATATTGATGTTCGGTATCATTGGATACACGATGCGCTGAAGATGAAGAAATTTACATTAGAGAAAATCCATACTGACGAGAATGGTTCAAATATGATGACAAAGGCCTTACCTATGGAGAAGTTCTCTACTTGCAGAAAGAAAGCAGGTTTGATCACCTATGGTTTCCCTTTAATTTGGTGAGGGGAGAATTGTTGTGTGGATCACCAAAATAAGTGAGCCCACTTAATCTTAATATTATTACTATTATTAAAAGAAAAGAAAAAAAAAGAATTAGCTTTGTGGGCCAAAGCCCATGAAATAGTTAAAGGGTTTTAACCCTTGTGTTGTCATTTTATTTGGAGCTTATTTTTAATTGCACGTAGGGAAAAAGTTGATCCAGAAGCTTACGCATTTTATTATTTTTTTTCCAACACTTAGTTTGTTTAACAATGTCTGCTGTTAGGTTTTCTCATAGTTCAATCGAGGGTTATTTCAATTTCCAAAATGTTCAAAATTACCACCATCACCCTAATAGGGTTTTGAATCTTGCAAGAGTTTCGAGTTTTTCGATTGATTTGTCGAGCCGTTGTTATTCCAAAGGAAAGTTAGCTTCTGTATCTGGTGAAAGGGGGTTTAAAGCTGTATTTGATTCTAGATTCTCTAGGGTATGTTTCCGGAGGAGTGTTGAATTGTCGAATGTTGCTTTGATGAGTCGTGTGTTGGATTGTCGAATGTATTCGTCGTCTTTGGGTGGGAAAGGAAGTGGGGACGGTGCAACGGAAGTGGCTGCTAGTGATAATGGTGGTGGTGATTCGGTTGTTTCGGGTGATTTGGTTGAGAGGGTGAAAGATATGTGGAAGACTGTTGCAGAGACTGCTTCTTATGTTGGGGAAATGATTAAAGAAACTTCTGATGGAGGAGGTAAGTATTAAATTTATTGAATCTTATCGGTTTGATTTTATTGAATCTTATCGGTTTGATTTTATTGAATCTTATCGGTTTGATTTTACATTCTTTTAAGTTTTTAGTATCTTTCCTTTTACTATACCTTTGTTTTCTATAATGTTGATGGAGGCATGAAATTTTTTATTAAGATTGTAGCTTTTATGAAATAAAAGTTTCTTATAAGTGATAATTATATCTATCTGATTGAGAGTTTAAACAAAATACTTACATTTACACTTATTAAGGATGGTAGTTAAGTGGCTACTCCAAATTATAATGGTCATCTCCTCACAATATTAATGGATTAATTTAAGGGCATTTTTGGAATAGTAACATTAAATGTAGATAGACTAGTTGACATTTTCTTATATTTGAGTCTAAGGATATTTTTCTTATAATTGAATCCAGGTGCTTACCTTTTTTGCGGAATATATTGGTATATCCTATTGATTGAATGAGAATGTTCTGCCAGTGATGCTTTGATCGTAAAATGATTTCAATTAAGTTAATAACTGTAACTTCCTTTCATGAAAGTAATGCTTTAATCTTCAAAGAGATAGTAGTTTTAGATCTCTAACAGCACTTATAATAGCAAAATAAGAAAAATTAAGGAATAAAATTCACTGTATTTCAAGTGTTCCTTTTTGTGAAAATATCTCCCATTTACCAGTCTTATAATAACACATGTGAAGATCTCAATATGAGTTTTGCTCATTTATTTCAGTTTTGCTCATTTATTTCAGTTGCTTATTTACGTTTCTACTCATAAAATAAGGGATGTGAACATTTACACGGTTCTGTTAATCGTTATACAGGAGGCGATGTGTTGAGTGGTTTATTCATGCAGTTTTCAAAGCCCTTTTCAATTGGAGATACAATAAAAGTATGTTGATTTAGATGCAAATCAGTCATCATTCCCAGTTTACTTTTTATGGGAAATATCATTTTCTGAATGCCATCTGTTTCACACTTGTATGCCCTATTTGCAGTATTATGTTTTTTAGGTGATGAATGACAATGATATTTTTACTTCCAAGGGTAGTAATACAGTCATACTTATGTATTATAAAGTACTAGTATGTAGTGTATAGGTAGATGTTGCATGTACATTCAGGGATAGAGTTAGGGTAAAAACATTGAACGGGTCGAAATTATAAGAATTTTAGGAAACAAGGCTAGGCTTTTTATGGAAAAGTAAAATAAGCTTGGAGGACCCTAACATAGTTATTATAAGATGAGACTATTAGTGAAATGCAAATTTGGAAATTTGGGACTATTTGGAGAGCTGTATGTTTCAGTGAGGGTGTAATATTTCTTGGATATGTCTGAGAATTTGTGTAAACTGCAGGCTGGATCGATAGAGGGTCAAGTGCTGGAAATTGGTCTTACTAGCACATCATTGCTGAGTCCTGAGAAACTCCCAGTCATTGTGCCGAACTCCTTTTTTTCAAACCAGGTAGACCTTCTTCCCCCCTTCATTTTTGTGTGATTATGTACTGACTCACTATCCGGCAGTCACTTCAGTAAAGCAGAGAAGTAGGTCCGACAATTTAAGAGTAGTCAGCTCTACTTTATCGCTTCTCTCTTTCTCTGACTGCTCCAATGCCCCTTCAAGTTATAGTTCTGTTGTTAGGCTTATCCAATAATAGTTTGAGCAGGCTTCATATAATCCTGAACTTAAATCTATGTATAAATATTTTGTTCCATCTTGTTTGAAAGATTTCAGGAATACTTCTCCTTGGTGCTTGTCAAATCATAATTTGTATGTTAGGAAATAGGTAAATATGAATACATCATGGAGGAAAAAGGTGTCGGTAATTCAAACAATATATGTTTGTTACTAATACTTTCTATGTAGAGGAGTAAAGGTTGTCAAATGATTCGACAATGCATTACTAATTTACCATATTCTGCCTCTTCAAGGTTTAAATTTTATTGTCTTCACATGTGTCTGACCATTCTTTTCATAGTTTTCAAACTGTGGCCAAGTATTGACTAACTTGATTGCACCTTCATTTTGTAATTCATTTATTTTGGGGTTGAATGTACCTGAGGAAATTTCTCTAGCGAGGATATGTAAATTTTGAAGCTGACACCTCACATTTACACACCTGCGTGCACAGACTGATGCATAAACTGTTACCTTATATTATAATCTCAATAAAATGTTTCTTGCTTAAGCTTTAGATCATAAGACTGAAAAATTGTTGCTTCAGTCGTGGTGGTTACAACTCTCTTTTCCATGCTACCTTTGTAGGTAATTGTGAACAAGTCCCGTGTTGATTTTCTTGCCATCATTACCAAAATCCCCCTGCAAATTGAAGATTTAAGTAAGATTCCCCAGATATCAAATGATGTAAAAAGCATGTTAACATCTAATGCGAAAGTTTTCTTAGGAAAAGATGTACCCTACTGTTTCTTGTCACGTATAGAAAGCTCATTCGCAGAACTGACTCTTGGATACAACCTCAAGCACATGGTAAGTCACTCATCTGAGTTTCTGAATTGATATTTAATGTTATGTTTGCTTCACACTAAATGACTCAATGAAACCTTAAAATACCATCCTATTATAAGACCTTCCGGGGTGTGCTAACCAAGAGAACCAATGGCCTTAAAAATAAGATCTTGAAATTGTTTCCTTGGAGTATAAATTTTTTAACATTAATGGTTGCTTTGTGTCCGACATCACTTAATGGGAAAATGTTTAATTGTTGTGTTTATTGCTTTTTGAACTATATGTTTTGAACTTTGTTATATCGTCCTATTATATGCGTTATTTTGTTAATGTGATAATTCTTTATCCTCAAATTCCACCATACTTGGTTATACCTCTTGTTAACTCTTTTGTTTATCTCATTTTATAATTTATTTCAGCGCAAACATGAGAACTACGCTGCACAACAAGATATTCTCCTGCAAGCAGTTCAGGTCATTAAGAATAATGGTGCTTCTCTTGGAAGCACATGGAATGGCACTAAGTAACATACTCAAAGCATGGACAACTTTTACATGCTTGATTTCAAAACATGATATGCCTTAGTTTTAAATGTAAAAAGTCTGCAACTATACTAAGCTCAAAAAAGTGATCTTCCCAAACAGAGCCGAAATAGCCACAGTTTGCAGCCAAATCAATTTTCTTACATTACTTGTAACTGTGTAGTCAGATATCATTTGGCTTCAGATTTTTCATTTTGTTTTACTAAATGATATAAAAAGTTATACTTTTATGAGCAAGATATGTTGGTCATAAAATCTACCAAATGAGTTAAAGTCGAAGGAAATTCAGGAAGCCTTTGAATGTTCTTGGTATTTGATACATAAGAGATACAAACACCAAATTATTAGATTATACAAGTTTTATACTAAAATTTGTTTACATCATAATAGAAGTTTATATTCTCTTATACTTCATATCACTTTCTTGATTCCATCCTTGAGAAACTGGACAAATTCTGCTATGTAATGATCCTGATGCAGCTTCAAATTTCCAACAATTAAAGCAGCTTCTCTTGTCTTAGCTCTAAGCTCCTCTCCTTCCTCCAACACCATTGCATGTCTAAGTGACTTAGCAATTTCATATCTAGTGAATGTTCCATCTTCATTTCTTTCAACTTCAATAGCCAAACCTTTATCCACCAAAAGCCTTGCATTAAAAATGGCAATTTGGACCCTTCAAGTCCATAACCAATTTCAAAAACTTGTTCCTTGCTCAATTTGCATTCACTCCCAAGCCCTACAAAAACAACCGATTTTGTTGCTTGCTTATCAAGCCACTCAAATATCGCACTCTCTGATCCTGATTTTCGTTGTGGCGTTTCTACATGCAACGCACCTATAGGAATCACAGGCTTACCAAGTAGTTTCTAGTATATATATATATATATATATATATATATATATATATATATATATATATATATATATATATATATATATATATATATATATATATATATATATATATATATATATATATATATATATATATATATATATATATATATATATATATATATATATATATATATATATATATATATATATATATATATATATATATATATATTTTGTGTGTATATCAAACTCTGAAATTCTTAAATAGCATTAATTTGCATGTACCAAATGTATTTTAAAACGTGGGAAATACAAATAAAAAATGTTAAGAGCATGATATCATAATGACATGAATTGTTACGATATTAGGAGCTGCATACGTGACCAACTTGCTTCAGTAATAAATAAACACATGGTCACATCTAACAAGTACATGAAGATTCACAAAATCATTTAAGAATAGAGTTAGTTTCTCGCTTAGGAAAGGAAAAAATCTAAAACAGTTCGAGACACAATATACGGCGGATTTATAGCTTCATACTATCTAAGTGGATCACCAAATACTTGAGATTTCAAAATGGGTTAATGTATATGAGTCAATCCTTCCTCGGATGAAAAAAAATCATAGATTTAAATTTTAAATTTAGAGTTTATATTTTTAGAAGTTTATTTTCTGATCTTAAAAAATCTACTATTTATTATAACTCTTTCGTATGGGTCATAGATAGTCTGTCAAGTCCGCATAATTATAAATTAAAAAAAAATATCAATGTTTATATTGTATTACTTTAAAATAATTTTTTTTTTATTTCAGTAAATTTTATTTCTATTCTATTCAATATATTTTTTTTAAAATATTATATATTAGTATAATCAACACATTTTCCTCATATTTTATTAGTTTATCTTATGTTATATATTCGAGTATTATTTTATACAATTTAAACATGTGTTGTATTTAAAAATAGTATTTATAAAATGTGTGTTTAAAATCAGTATTTAAAAATGTATGTTTAAAATAATATAATTTTTAATTTTATTTATAATAAATATAATGAGATTTTTATTTTAATTTTTTATTTAAAAAAATACGGTTTAGGATTGAATAGCCCGAAGCCAATCTAGAATCGAGTTCAAGTAGTAATTTTTGAACCCATATTACAATAGGACTTTTTTACCCAATCCTAAAAAGTCCAAGGCCCGCTAGAGTTGACTCATTTAAAATCGAGTAGCCCATTTTGCCAGCTCTACCAAATACCACATTTCTTTTTATGTGAACCACAAAATACCACCTTTCTATTTTGAGGGTTCCGGTCAAAAGCACTTTATGAAAAATTGCACTATAACATAACTAATAGTTGAAAACTAAATATGTTATAGTTAAGGGTTAATATCCATTTCCCGTCATACTGGGTGAATTCGAAAAACGACTATGTAAAAAAACACAAATTTTATCCTTACACTTTTAAGATTTTGGTTTCTTAAGTCATTTTCTTCACCCATGGTTAATTTTTGCATTTCCATTTCACTGTTTTAGGTATCACTACTACAAAAAAATACATACAATCACGGAAGACCAGTCGTTGTTAAGTAGCATGTAGTTTTATATGTGTTACTTACGATCGCAGTCTAGTACTCATTGTAGAAAATTGAAATGCATGCTACCTATCACCACAGTTGTGTTACATAACTGTTGTGAAAAGTTTAAAGGTCCTTGGTTCGATTCCCGTATAAACATAGTTGGATTTAGCAACCGAAGTGAAATCACCTACTTTTAAAAATAAATAAAAAATTCTGGTTTTATACATTTTCTCCATTTCTTAACATGTATTTTTGTGAATCGTATCAAATCAGAAACAACAACACGCATTTGTGAATTGTATCATACCAAAAATTGTATTACATCAAAAACAATGGTTAATTAATGATTAACATATATATATATATATATATATATATATATATATATATATATATATATATATATATATATATATATATATATATATATATATATATATATATATATATATATATATATATATATATATATATATATATATATATATATATATATATATATAGAGAGAGAGAGAGAGAGAGAGAGAGAGAGAGAGAGAGAGAGAGAGAGAGAGCTTATAGGTTACGTTAATGTGACCGAGTGACCAGTAAAATCGGTTATTAAGGTTTACGAAAGAATACATAAAACTAAATTAAGGCATGCCAACTAGGTGATACATTGATTTATCAAGCTAAATTTTTACCAATAATAATACATAAAATAACTAAATTCTAGTATGACAAAAAGCTCTAACCTGAATTAGTAATAGCTTTATGTTCCACACTTCAACTTTAAAATCAATTGAATACATGCACCCATATTAGCCCGATCATACTTTGACACATTACAATCTATTGGATACATGAAGGGAATTCTTCAATCTTCATGCCTATTTGAATTCGTGTAGTTCTCAATGTCTTCATCTAATTCAGAATCAGTTGCATCTATATTCATTAGGTCCTTCACGATAGCCTCTACCTTCCTTATCTTTTCAAGTTAAGATTCTTGATAAGAATCTTCTATAGCCTATTCCACCAAATAGTTCAAGAACAATAATGTGATTCTTAACAACTTCAACTTCCTTGACTTTGTTCAATAATAACTCTAGCATATCAATAACCTTCTTTGAAGCCTCGATCTTTTGGACAAGTTTGCTCCCACTAGCTTGATCTTGATTCATATCGAGAGAAGGATCTGAAATCTGAGAGAAGGATCTGAAATCTAAGAGTATGATAGGTCTAGAGAGTGTCAAAGTGGTCGTAGGGAAGAGAAACCCTTGTTCAAACCCTAAACCTAAAGCATATCCAAACTAACAAAAAAAAAGTGAAACTGAAGTAAATAATATGAAAATCATGTGAAACATATAACAACATACAACAACAATAAAAACCCATAAACCACCGAACAAGAAAAAAATCATGTGAAAATCATGTGAAACATAATAACAGCACACACAAAAATGAGAGAATAAGGAAGAAGAAGAATATCTTTATGCATGAAGAACAAGATTGAGGCTATATTGTAGAATAGAAAAGTTAATGACGAAAAAGAAGAGAGAAAATGTGTGTTAGGGTTTTGTTGTGAGAGATACGACAACACTGTCAAAAAGCGAGAGCTAATTCGCTATGGGTAAATAATTTCACCACGGTCTTATTCAAAAACTATGATGAAATGTAATGTCTTTCACAATGGTTGGCATTACCAACGTGGTGATAGATATTCTAATTTTAATCTAATTTTAATTTATATATATATATATATATATATATATATATATATATATATATATATATATATATATATATATATATATATATATATATATATATATATATATATATATATATATATATATATATATATATATATATATATATATATATATATATATATATATATATATATATATATATATATATATATATATATATATATATATATATATATATATATATATATATATATATATATATATATATATATATATATATATATATATATATATATATATATATATATATATATATATATATATATATATATATATATATATATATATATATATATATATATATATATATATATATATATATATATATATATATATATATAGACACATACACACACACACATATATATACGAAAAAGTAGAAAATTGTTGGAGCTGGGATTCGAACCCTGTCACTCCATGAATGTATAATCACGGTTGATTGTTTTTACCGTAATGCGTCGTCTTTTCGTTAACATAAAAAGACAAGACGCGTTCTAAAATAAGGTATCACCATGATTAACTGTCAGACCATTGTAAGTTAGTGTTACCAAAGGTATATTTTGTAGTAATGTATGATTTTGTTCAACGTAATATTTTACCATGGTGGAGAGTTTGTCGTGATAGCTTTGTTTTCAACCGAGGATGAGTTGAAACAATTGTTAGTGGACAAGATTTAGACAAATGATCGTATTTTGAAGCTCTGAGCTTAGTAAAAGAATGAGTTATTATGGTAGTGGTGTTAGAATATGGAGAAAGATTGAAGGGATTGATGAAGGTTTCTTCCACCTGACTGATGATTCTCATGATACAGAAGTT